GTGATTTGAGTCACCTCTTAAAGGTCGTGCAGATTCCACTTTTTCAGCTCACGGTCGCCGAGGATTTGAGCACTTTTTCTGCACTGCGAGCGCGCGAGTAGCTTGCGTAATCTGGGCTCATATTTTTTTCTTTACTCTTTCTTTTTTGGTAGTACAATACATTGTGGATGACTGAGATGGACTCCTTGCCAGGGCCTTGCTCATCTTTTTTTATTGCTAGTTATTTGCTTATTATTTTTTAAGCGCAGATTCATCCTCGCATGTCTAATACATTGCGAAGTGATCCTTCAAATTTTTCCTGTAGTCTATGTTACATAAAGAACGATATTTTTCGGGGGCGTGGCTGGCACCCGTCGATATTCCATAATTTACCAGAACAGTGCTCATTTTTTCAAATGTTGGATGTGTTTTGTCACAATTCAAAACACACTATCTTTTTCGACATTATTTGTATCACATGAAATCATCGCTGCTCAAAAAATATTCAGCTTTTTCATAAACCTTCACGTGTACGCAACTAATTTGCGTACCTGAGAGATGTACTACTTTCCTATTTAATTATTGTTTGTTTCAATCACTCATCAACCTTTGTACTGTTCCAGAGCATTCTAAGCCTTTTGTTTCTCCATTATCCTTCTTCAGTTTTTTTGTTGCTATTTTTTATCGGGATATCTGCAGCCCATAGACCGCTCATAAAGCAATAATTGCTCTTTCTCAAAATATATTTATTTCATTTTGTGGTGAAGAATATACAACGTAGAGTATTTTGTACTTCTAACAGCAATTCTTCCACAATCTCGCCTATCTTGTCTTGACATTCCATAGCTTTAGCATCATTCAAACTCTTGCAATATGGTCGCAATCTCTATTACAAATCGGTTTTGTTGATATAGCATTTCAACCTTAGCTTTGGGTCAATGAGACATTTCTTCGCACAATACCTGTAAACTCCTAGCTTCGTTCATTCATTCTTATTCAATGTGATTAAGGCTTCCACATGAACTGGTAAAACAGTATAATTTCAATATCATCATTACAAGCCGTCTAAGCAATTATATATAGGGTGAAGGAAGGGACTTTTGTTTAAAAACGTCATGGAAATCTGATCTAACAAGCTTGAAGATAAATCCTGCAAATCTCAGAGATGCATTTTACACATACTATTATATATGTCGAAAAACTAAAAACGTTATGCTGTTTTTTATGGGCTAATCTCACTTTCTTTGAAGGGGCGGGGGAAGGGGGGAGGATTTACGAATCCACCGAGGAGGCTGCAAGTTTACTGCAAGAGGCCATTTTCTTCAACAGAGAAAACACATCTATGCCATATTTTGATGTCCAAAAACAGCATTTTTGTGACTGACTCGACTCTTCTAGTCAGATCATCAGCATCAGAGGCCTCGTGTTGCAGCGTGTGACTGTGTTTGTAATTTGAGCTGCATTATCCTTTGCACTCTCTGTAACCCAGCATTGAGCAGATTCACCTTGCAATTTTTCTCGCACCTGTGTTAAACAAAAGAACGAGCTAGTTCTTCCTCGCTCTGACTTCATGGCAATGAACCCATCGTTATTGACAGATCTAGAGCAGCGTTTATAATCATTGAGTGCGCGAGCAGGTCAATTGGTAGTTCTTCCTTCCTCTTTAGCGTGAATTGGGAACGTCTGTGTACTTGCTTTTGGCATAATTTTGTAGAAGTTGCTGGAAGTCATTTATTTTGTTTTTTTTTGGTTTACAACCAGCATTTATAGAAGAAAAGGTGATAAAATATATGCAGTTGACAGTTTCTTACTACTCTTTCCTCATTTCTTCTCCCGTCATGTTTCCCCTTCGTTATGAGGCGGGATAATGAGCGAGTGAACCCTGTTTCTTTTCATCAAGCAATAACAGTTGGTATTCTTCATATATTTTTCAAGGTTTTCTCCGTCATATAAATGTTGCGCTCATGATCGAAACCAAGGCTGGTAGCCATCACATTTACGACTTTACGTAGGCTAGTTCAAGACGGATTTGCGTAAGCAGGTAATTTGTGAACTCCGAATGAACATTCTCGCCCTCGTAAATACGCTCCGAATGTACCAAACCAGGTTACAACGCAATTTGCTGACATCGGCTTGAAGGAAACTTTGCTATTTTGCAGCTATTTATTTAGTAATCTGGTTCTTTTGTACCGTGCGATTCCAAAAAAGTGACTTCTGTTGTACACGCATGCAGAAGACCTCAATTTTTTCCTTCTGTCCATACTTGATAATGTGTTAGACGATTTTTTCAAAGTTTTCGATGTTTTCCATTGAAATTCTTCTTTATGATTATGTTACCAATATGGACAAGATTTTTCCGCATTGTTTCTCTCTATATGACCTTATAGAAACGAGTCCGATGCAGTAACCATAACCTCGAAATTTTACCCAATTTAGCGGGATTCTACACATATCAAAAGTGCATCTAAACTTTGATACCTTCATTTCCACACTAGCTTTCTTTTCACTTCGAAATCTACATGGACGAACATATTAGATAAAATAATGCAATCACCTTTTCCAGAAATACGGTTTTGAACTTTTGAATTTGCGGTCCATACTTGTTTTTTGTTTTTTTAGCTCTCTCTAATGTAGCCAGAAATTGCTACCAGCTCTGAACAAAATCGAGCATCTATCGAGCAAGTTGATCGTGACTGCAATTCAATGCGACTTCAAATCTCCAAAACCTCCACTTCACACATTTGTGAAAAATCCGAAAAATACGCTCAATCCACTCCACTTCAACAGCACATGTTCGAAATTGTTGGACACCAAACCCTCGCTTCTTTTCGCTTATCCAGTCATTCTCGTACTCTTTTGAATCTAATTCAGAATCTCATTCTTCTTTGCAATTGAGATTCGTGTTGACTAGGAAATAGAGCGTGGATCTGTTTGTTTTTCTCTTATGCAGCAATCCTTCAATTTTGCGCTTTTCAAGGCAAAGACGCATGTTGCAAGACTGATGCCCTCATTGTTTTTTTAAACCTTTTCGCATCACATGGAAAGTCATAATATCAACCAGTGTCATACGGAATTAAACAAAATTTTCCATTAGTGTCAAAAAATGATTGCCTTCAGTTTCATTATGTGGTGCGCGCATAACTGTGATTTTATAGTTGGATAAATATAAAGTTTAAATATTGAAGTCAAAAAAGTGCGAAGTTCCAGCTTTATGCGCGAAAGACGATTTTTGGGCAGACCAGATCGTTTGAATTACCCATGATTATGCAAATGGTTGTGAACATCAGAATCAAACAAGTACGTACAATACGCTAAAATTATCCACCTCAGTTCGTTTTCTGGAGCGCTTTTTCAAAAATCAGGTGAAGAATTCGATCCCACCCTCCTGCACTAGATGGGCATAGAAAAAAATTCTGCCAAAATGAAATAGAATTGCTCTTCCCTGTTAGTATATACCCTACACAAATCTGCTGACTTTTTGGCCGTCCAGCACAGTATCGTCAAGTCATTTGTAACTCATTGTGAAGAGCACGCCATGCGCGCTACTTGACGAACTGTTAGATTAGACTTTGATTATTTCCGGTGATTCCTCATTGTTTCCTTGTCCTTTTCGATTTGATTGGATATACAGGGTGTTCCAAAAGTAAGTACACACTTTTCAATCGTTAATATCCCTCTTCCCATTGGGTCATTTTCCGCCATTCAAGCACCATTCGTAGAGGAGGCTTCAACTTAGATCTACAGTATCGAGCGATTGCCGGTCTCTCTTCATTACTGTAGGATTACGGTAAGAACTTCGACAAGGATTTTAAGCCATTGGAAGCCACATTTTGCCTCCAAACGCGCCTAAAACTCTAACACTGTGGTAATGGAAGCCGCTGATTTCGAGTATGAAATTTCCGCTTTACTGTGATGCTTCTTTCCAAAGTTATCCTAGGTAAACCGTGATAATCAAATTCCCAGTATCAGTCTGAAATGTGATTACACCTTCAAAAAAAGCTGAAAACTCGTAAAAAGTTGTGTAGCGACATCAGCGTGCGCGAAAATCTTAGTACACGGTTTTTCAGATTTTTTGAAAAAATTGTGTCGATGGCATATTTCAAAATGGTTCCACGTGCTGAAAGTTCTTACCGTAATCCTACAGTAATGAAGAGAGATTGGCGATTTGATCGATACTGTAAATCTAAGTTAAAGCTTCCTCTACACAATGACACTTGATTGGCTAAACAAGACCCATTGGGAAGAGAAATGTTGACGATTGAAAAGTGTGCACTTACTTTTGGGACACCCTGTATATCAGTTAGTATAATACTACACACTTCTATAGATTGTTGGCTCTGAAAAGTTCTGGAGAGATCAGTAAGGATGTCGTCGTTCGTAAGGATGTTTCCGCGCATTGTGTGCATCTTCACTTATGAAGTCATAAATGACTCAGGGATGTGTATGCCCCCACAAAGACCAAACTTCCGGTGGTCTCAAATAATTTGGTCATGCGGCATTGTTGGAGATGAAGTAAAGCCACCCGCACATTATCCGGCTTTTGTCAAGTGTTGCCAATTCACTTCTTCTTGCCATATACAGGCAATGTAGCCGGGCCGACAGGTTTCGCCTGCCCATTGTTAACACAACATGACCACTCAATCTATGGTTGTGGGGCTAATGATGCCCCTCCATGGGTGTTTCCTGCCTGCTCGATCTCTGATAGCTTCCACTTTGTTTTTGCGTAATCACCACTGCTCACGGGCCGCACAGGTTGTTTTTGCCAACTGTTCGTGAATGTTCATATTATGCTTTTCGCCGAAACTTCGCTCCGCAGCAGTTGTTCACCCGAGGCCAGTCTCGCGTACAAACACATCCTGGCGCTGTTTGCCATGAGAATCGAGAGCCTCGACTCGCACTCCCTCGCACAACTCCGATTATCCTTTTGCTTTATGAGCTTTGCTGCCTCTCAGTGTCTGTTGTTTGTTCGTGGATATCGTTTTTCGAAACTCGCACCTATTAGCGCACGATAAAAATTGCTTGTTTCAGAGGCATTCGGGAATTCCACAAAAAAGATCGAGGGGTGACCGATAAGCCACATTATGTACGCTGGTCATCCTATTCTTGATGTATGTCATGTTCCTTTCTTATAGAGGAAGATTTTTAGCAACAGTTTATGAAAAGATCAAGCCGCAGTGCATTTTGAATTACGAAAAGATCATCACAAAAGTCCTTTTGTTAGAAACTCTGTTTGAAGACGGAACTTCTATCATTCTGATTCTGATACAAACACCGGAAAACATTTATGAGCTGTAAACAATGGATATGGAATATGTACGGCATTTTACAAATTATTGTTGAGCTGCAATCAAAAAACAAAAAATAATCTTTCTGGAACAAGCTTTAAAACCACAAAACTTCGCAATTTCATTTATTCATTCATAGCCATTAGGAATTTTGCACTAATTTCAGGAAATCAAACAAGGATTCAAGCTTCGGCCCACAAAGACTGTCGATAAATCGAAACCAGTGATTTTAGCCGAAGGAGAAGATGCAGACCAGATTGCTCCCACAAAACGACCTGGAGCACAACCCCTTCCTCCTTCTGCACCTGAGCTGCAGGTTTGTAGAGCCAAAGGTCGTTTGTTCTTTTCTCCTGCCTACCTCTTGCACGGTAACATGCGACTTATTTGGGAGAAGAATGATCCGGACAATGTTTGTTTTTGTGGGTTTTTGTGGCAGACAGGACAAGTGTGCAATAGATACGACGACATCCCAATGTCCTTCGCAAAACTTTGAAATTTCCTCCTAATTGCTAGTGTAAATAGGCCACGTTCATTCTATGCCTATACGTCGGTAATACATAGTTATTATGTAACTGAGGATACGTCTAAGTGACATCTGGAAGACAGTGCAATGACCCTCTAGTTTTTATGCTCTATTCTGGAAAATACGGGGAACGGAATTTAGGTATCGTCGTCTCCTCGGCATACGTTGGGCGGAGCTTTTGCGGACATTTCAACACGTTGGTGAACCTGATAACCCTCTACTGCAAGGCATTGTTTCTTGTGATCTCTCGCTACCAACTCTGCCACGTGTGACAACAGCATATATACGTGGCAAATTAGAGAGTACAAAGAACCATACTTTGCACTAGAAGCTTGACAAGTTCATCAACGTGTTGAAGTGTCCGCAAAAGCTCCGCCCAACGTACGCTGGGGAGACGACGATACCTGGCAGTCGCTGCTGGTTTATTGAATGATTTGAAAGATTTTGAGCCGTACAATTCACTTACACAGAAATAGCGTCCTCGATAACCAATAAGTTCGAGTTTTCCCGGTTCGTTTGAACAACTTTCAATGTTGAATTTTCAAACTCAAGTTTGTTTCAAAATCGGTTCATAACTACCAGGCGCGTCTCTGTAACCTCTCAGGCACACGGGTTGCATACTTGGAAGAAGCACCCTTAGAGATTCCTTATTACAGGTTTTTAGTTCATTTAAACAACTTTTAGTACGAGTTTTCCGTTTCAAAATTGTTCGAAATTTCCGTTTCCGTTTTCTATTCACCAAGCTAAGGTGCGAGTGATTCCGGATGCAAGAACTGAAATATACTCCGGAGGGATGCTATTCATCTATACTGACACTCATGACCACGCATAAACTTAAAATTACGCCTCAGTCTAGCTGCTAGGGTACCTAAGTCCCCTCACCGAGAAATACGCATCATATTTCGAATATAAGAATCTACTTGTGTTCAGATCCCATCTCCGGCAGAACCCGATACAAAATCTCCCAAGGCCTCACCTAAATCAAAAGTCTCGCCTACTCCGAAAGCCTCTCCGAAGCCTGGACCCAGTTCTTCGTCTAGCCCGAAAGTAAGCCCAGGAGGTGCGCCTCCACCTCCTCCACCACCGCCACCAGGATTCGGTCCACCGCCTCCTCCACCTCCACCAGGAGGCGCTCCGAGTGCTCCGCCACCACCGCCACCATCTTCGGGACCACCTCGTTCACAAAAAGCAAAATCCCCGGCACTTCCTTCGTTAGGAGGAAGAACTCCTGCCGAAATTGATAGGGATGCATTTTTGCAGTCAATACAGGTAATTGTTATTTCTATTTGTCTGTTGCAGATAGTAGGAAAAGCAAAAAACATTAGCTTGCTTGGAATCAAAGTCCTTGCTTTTCATTTATTCAGAATTGCTCAAAGTTAGTAAAAATCAGTTTGCCCAAATTCGAATATAAAGGAACGATAATGCGAATACTCTGTTGCGCAGTGAAATATTTGCAAACCTGTAATTATTCATATAGCAATCCAGGTCGAAATAGGAATATTGATGACCCAAGCAACTTCTATTATAGTAATATTCTCCATCTAGGGAGGAATCCGTTTGCGCAAAACGGTAACCATTGATAAAAGTGGATTGATTGTGGACGAAAGCTTGAAAGAGAAGAGTGTTAAACTGGTTGAACCGGCTCCCTCAACAGCATATATCCCTCCAAAGAAGGACCCTCCCAAGAAAAGCGTCGCTTATCAAAGACCCAGATCACCTTACTTGCAAGAGCCGTCTGACGATGAGAGGTGAAGGCACTACAACAAACAACAGTATCGTCAATATTTTTCTTTCCAGATTCTTGACTCCCACTGGCGGCAGAGGTTCCGAATATGGAACACCGGAACCAGACTCCCCTCGTTTTTCGAGGAAAACTCCTGAAAAGGAAGAGAAACCTGATGCAGCCTTTGACGAGAAGAGCCTGAAAGTTAGCGCTGAAGATCTCAAACAGGTGCTCCAACCCATTTCCGAATATTTGTGGATTTGTCAGCTTTTTTTCCCATTCAGGAAATTCCAACCGGAACAGCAGCGAAACTGCTAGCTAAATGGAACGTGTCACCAGATGGCGCACCCACTAATACAGTAAAACGCAACTTCCGTCCCTCTCCTGTCAGAATTCCCTTCGAGGTGAGTAAATTTTCAGGGTATTCGTGCTCTAATAAAGTACTTTATTCACAACAGACGAACTGCACATCTCAGTAAGTTAGGTCGTTCCGAAAGTAATGTCGCTTTTTTCATAGGTACACCACATCTCGTAGAACAAAGATTTGTATGAGGTCTTGGTAGCATTCGATGCAGCATTTCATTTTCTTTCTAACGGTTGTAATTTCATTGCATAACTTATAAAGAGCTTTCAAAAAAGTACCAAAATCTGCTACCCGTGCTTTTTGAGAAGATCAACTTCCACAATTTTTCTAAATTTTCGTAACAGCCCTCGGAAGGAGTTCAAGTAATGCTCGAACAGAGGAAACCCTAAAAGAAACAGCATTATTTTTCCCTACTTTTTCTACTAGCGACCCTACGGGTCGCTAGCAAGTGGGTCAGGGCAGATACAATATAAGGGCTTAGCTGTGACTAAAAATATTTCTGAATAAGTTTTCTGTTCTTTTCCTGAGAACATTTTTGCGAAGAGGATTCTACAAAAGGAAAAACTGCTCGAAGAAGCGATAATCTCCACAAATCATTCAGCATTTCTCGAAATTCCTGCTACAACCATGCATGATATTATTCCTATCTCGTTTACACGCTCTTTATGCAACTCTCCTCCTCACAGAGACATTCAGATACCCCCCCCCCCCCACTTTTCTACCCTCTCAAAGAGAACTTGCTCTTTCAGTTCTTCTCAACAAGTTCCATGAAAGATCGTTAAGTAAGTAGCAGAACATCTATCGTTTTGGAGGCAGAAATACACCATAAGAATTAGTGTACTACAAAAAACACTTTTCTCTCAGAATCAATTCCGACAGCAACGAAATCAATCGTCTAAGAACTTTGTTAAAGAATCCTTATTTTTTCGCTGAAGGAATATGAAGCTTTACTACAAAAGGGAGCCACCCAAAAACCGTCAGTCATAAGAACTGCACAAACGTACATGAAATTTCTTTCCCTGTCCGATCAAATTGCCCTACGTACCGCTTGAAGACCGTTTAAAAATTGTAAGGTAAAATTAAATTGTAAAGTAAAATTAAATTGTAATTGTAACATGCGAAAATCTGTTTCCCTGCCCGATCGGCTTGCCCTACGTGCCGCTTACAAACCGATAGTAACTATTCAAAAATAAAGTTTATTCCCTACGTGCCGCTTGAAGACCGTTTAAAAATTACAAGAACTGCCCCAAACATAAAAAATCTGTTTCCCTGCCCGATCGGGTTGCCCTCCGTGCCGCTTACAAACCAATGTTATCTATCTAAAAGACAGTTCATGCCCTACGTGCCGCTTGAAGACCGTTTAAAATTATAAGAACTGCCCCAAACATACAAAAATCCGTTTCCCTGCCCGCTCGGGTTGCCCTACGTGTCGCTTACAGACCGATAGTAACTATTCAAAAATAAGGTTTATTCCCTACGTGCCGCTTGAGGACCGTTTAAAAATTATAAAAACTGCCCCAAACATACAAAAATCTGTTTCCCTGCCCGATCGGGTTGCCCTACGTGCCGCTTACAAACCGATAGTAACTATTCAAAAATAAAGTTTATTCCCTACGTGCCGCTTGAGGACCGTTTAAAAATTATAAAAACTGCCCCAAACATACAAAAATCTGTTTCCCTGCCCGATCGGGTTGCCCTACGTGCCGCTTACAAACCGATAGTAACTATTCAAAAATAAAGTTTATTCCTTACGTGCCGCTTGAAGACCGTTCAAAAATTACAAGAACTGCCCCAAACATAGAAAATCTGTTTCCCTGCCCGATCGGGTTGCCCTCCGTGCCGCTTACAAACCAATGTTATCTATCTAAAAGACAGTTCATGCCCTACGTGCCGCTTGAAGACCGTTTAAAAATGATAAGAACAGCCCCAACATGCAAAAATCTGTTTCTCTGCCCGATCGGGTTTCAACAGACTTTTGTATACCAAAACGGTGACAAGTTTTCCTCTCTTGCACAGCAAACCTGCAGAGAATACAGTGCCTAAATATCACTCATCTCAGATCTCAGTAAAATAAAAACAAATTTCCTCACTCATCTTTCGTTTGTTTTGTTAGTCCTTTCAGACGTTCCGTTACATCTGCTCATTTGTATCTGCTATTTGTACCCACATGCGGATGTCATATTTGGAGTAAAATCTCTCTCACTGAGTGTTTTCAAGATACTAAACACCTCACACAGAAGAGTCGAATCTGTAATGAACTCAGTTTTAGCTCCGATGTTACCGGGAGTACGCTTGGCAAATTTCTACCTCAAAATTCCCCTCCGCATAGAAATAAATTTCTCGGCGATAACAATCTTATTAGAAGCAAATATCAAAGAACATAGAAGAGCACAAGAGAATGATGATCCAACTGCGAAAGCACTTCCGGTCAGATTAGATTCCCCTCTCCATAGCCAAATCTTCGGCGATGACAATCTTTTATCAAGAGCAAATTTCAAAGAACATATTCTCGAATGAGAAGAATTCAGAACAACAGTTATTTGAAGAAATTCTAGAATGAACGTGGAAATTAGAACAGTTCCTAGGACGGTCAAAACTGCAGACGTGAAAAATAATGACGATATCGATCGAAAACACGCCCGAAACATGCCGTTATGCATGTGTGTTGTTTCAGTTGCCCATACTTACGAAATTTGGCACCGTTTCAAAGGCTTACGAAAATCTGGCATCGTGCCAACTGACTTACTCACCGCTAATTGCAGCAATCCAATTCCAAAGATCAGTGTATTTCATCATAATTATTACGTCTGCGGCCTCCTCGTTTGCCATGATCCAACTATCGGGCGGCTTAATGGGTAAACAACGAATTCGTTATATATTACGTAGTGATTAAAACCACCGAATTTTAGCAGGCTCGTCGCAGACATAAATGCATCAAAAAGCACTAATCTTTGGATTTTGGAACTTAAAAGATGGATTATGGTTTGACACTTTCTAAAAAAGCAAATGAGTAATTGCCGCTTCAGATTAGCAACTTTCGAAATTCCGGGTACAGCATGGGGCACCCTGGAAAATGAATTTCGATGATTTTATCTGGGAAAACTTCATGACTTAGAAACAATGAACAACCAGTGGAAGAAAAAGCTGCGTCGAATGACACCCAAATTGCTCGCTGATTATTGTTCTATGAGGTTTTAGTTGATTAAATATGGAATTTGTTAGCATTAAAGAATTGATTTTAGAAATCCTAAGAGGCGAGCTAAGGAGAAGAAAAAAATTGTTTCTTATCCTTTAGGGTTTGCTCGATCTGCCCATTGCTTGCACTTCTTGGGGGATCAACAAAAATTTAGAAAAATAACCGAATTTGACTATGGCAAAAAAGCATGAGTCGTAGGTTTTGGTACTTTTTCGAGAGCTCATTGAATATTATGCAATGGTTGTACAACCATTGGAAAGAGGATGAAATGGAACATGGAACGCCTTCAAGATCTCTTGAAAATCTTGGTTCCACGAGATGTGGCGGCGTCCATTTGAAAAAGTCGACATTACTTTCGGAACGACCTAATATTTGCGTTGAGACTTGAAATTTTTGAAAGCTACTTACATGCGTATAAAAAATGTGCAAGTGACTTATTTACACTTGTAAATATTACAATAATTTTCAAAAAAAATTTCGGAAATTCAGATTAGCCTTGTAAAAAAATTTTTTGGGGACATGGCTGCCTCCACGCCCCGCCCCCTTTTTTCAAATTTTGGGGTCACAGGCTCCACAAAACTTTGAGAGGCATCCCAAAAAGTTTTCAATATGCGTGACTGAACCGCGCCTTTGTTCAAAAAATTTTTTGTCCCCTCCCCCCTCGCACTGCTGCCAGCACAATACACTGTCGCACTCACCAGTCCCACTTCCATTCATCATCCTCTTCCTGTCCTACTTCTATAGCCAGCACTTTAGCCCAAAGTTTTCGATCAGTATGCTCGCTTCCCCCCCCCCCTCCACCGTGTGCCAACTCCCAGCCCCGTAGATCAAAGTTGGCAAAAAATTGCAAAAACCGATAAAGTCGTTGATATTCCCGAAAACCACTATTGTATTCGTAACCTGCATGCCCACTTCCTTCCTCCGCTGTGCCAAACCCCAGCCCTGCCCCAAAATATGTATGCAAAGTTTGGTCCGGATCGGTCCAGAAGTGGATTTCTATTTCTAACATATGTATGTACAGACAGGCAAACACATTTTCACCTTTATATATTGAGGATCACGGTATCTGGTGGCCATTTTGTGGATCTGATTTGGCCATCGGAAGTGCGCCTCATGCCTTTTTTGCATTTACACTGCGCCGGTAGCATAAAAACGAGCGCTATTTTTGCACCAGTCTGGTAATTTTTTCATAGCTGCAGAAAAGCATAAAGGTTAAAAAACTGTTTTTGTTAAAAGTTCGGAATTTCTTCTCGTTTTTTTCCTGTTATCAGGTGCATCAAAATTCACCTCGAAGTATTCAAAATTTCAGGTGAATAACAATGGTGATGTTGTACCGAGACCAAAGGCTCCTTCAAAGTGGGCACCGGTAGAGACAGGTGGTCTCAGACAGCCTACAAGAGGTGATCAGTTTGTGTCTTTTTTCGGAGTTGTGAAAGGTCATAAAATCGAATGTCTCTTTTTGTCTAGACGTACTTTGGCAAAATTCATGTTATAAAGTGTGTCTGTGGGATTGGCACAAGTTATCGTCTGTGCTTCAGTTAATGTCCCTCTGGATCGCAATGACCGAGCGCACTCTGAGGTTCGCAGCACTCCAAGCAATTCTCTTCTGCAAGAGCCTGCATCGTTTGAAAGGGCTCGCACACAAAGTCCGACTCCACGCGAGTCAGCCACTGCTTCAGAAGTTCCCGCTCGTGAGAGCCGGAAAGAGGAAAGAAAGAAGGTTGCTGAGCTGATTTCCGTAAAGTGAGTTTTCTGCGTTTGTGATGCTGCTAACATCAACTTTGCTTTCATTGGGTCATCTCAAAGTTTTTTGCGTTCTTTAAGCGATTACGAAACCTTTGAAGATTAATGGGGTATCATTTGGATCATTTCTTCTCTCCTTTCTGTAGCTTCTGCTCTTCTAATCCATGCAGTCTTTCTGTATTATCGCCATAGCTCTTTATGGCATCCTGCGAGTGCGTACACATTTTTGTCTTTTACAAACATTTTAGCTGTTAGGAGAAGCGTAAGTAGAATAAAGGTTAAGTAATAATTTATTTATTATTTGTTCAAGAAAGTTTTTTTCTAGCTACAAAAATATATGTACCTCGTGAGCGCACCTGGACTTAAACCTAAGGCGGTATTTGCCAATCCAATCTCGATCTGCTGATCATTACCGCTATGAACGAACGCCCTCTCCCGTTCGGGATTTCATTTACGACGTTGGAACAGCTACAATCAAAGACGGGCAGAATGATGGAGATCACCCCGATTTTTTTGAAGGAATCAAACTCGGCTCCCTTGAATGGTGTTGAATATAAGCAAGCTTACTTTCAGTCACAGAATTTTTTTTTGTTCTGAAACACTTGTGCTTTACTGTAGCCACCTCCTAGACTCTTTGTCTAACAGTCTACTATAATGCAACCAACTTATTTCAACTTTTTCACAAGCTTGTAGATTCAGTTATTCTTCAGTTCTTCTACCTTCCACAGTTATTGACAATGAACAATCTGTTCCAACTCCTGCATAATCAACCACTTACGCTTTATTTCAGAACCGACTATGCACCTCCAATACCTAAAACAAAACCGCCTACAATCAATGAGATTCCTCCCTCACCAAAAACTACTGTAACTACTCCCTACTCTTACAGCAAAATTAGCGAAACGCGGAGGTAAACAATTTCTGTGAAGCTCATGATATCAGTCTCATTGATAGAAGCTAAATTTCTAGAAATAACAGTCCCACTGTAAATTCGGAAAAAACTTCGCCTTCCCCGTCGTTGTCCTCGGCGTCTATCCCTTCTCCTTCCTCTTTATCTCCTGGAAGCACATCACCGGATATGCCAAGAAAGAGAGTGAATCCCGCATTTGACAAGGTGTGTTCTTATCTCGCCTATAACGTCAGATAAATTGCTGAGATTTAGGCAAAGGAGAAGTTTGCTGGTGGAGCAGCAGTTGAATCTGCCTTCAAAATGGACATGAATCCGCCGAAGGAATCGGTGCGGCGTTCAGCGAGTCCCAGTATTGGCCTCATGAAAGAGAAACTAGAAAGTGAAGAGACTACAAAAGTGGTAAGGGATTACCTTTTAGGATGCTATTGATAAGCAACAGTAAGCGAAATTGCGCAGCTTTTACACCTTCCTTTCCTCATGCCTTCTAAAATCAGTAGTACCCCTTATCAACTTTCACATGTACAAACAGGCTTTGTATGATATCCATCTCTTCTAATTCTGCAGCTAAACGCTCCAATACGATCACTCTGGAGAATTATTAACCAACCATAATCTGACTGTGCTTCTCCCCATCGTAGCTCCTTCAATTTGCTACTGTTGATTCTGCTTACATTCATCAAAAGGAAAAGCTTTCATACCTCTTAAAGGCATAGGGCTATGCCGGCATACTTCCTTTCTCACCGATAATTCATCGAAATTTCTCTATTATTCGAGAATCATTTCAAATCTATCCTAACGTAACAAGAGCACATCAAACAACCTATACCTACTATTCGGATGTTGTGGGCCACAACTGAGCCGTCCCAATAACATATTTATCTAAATGAGAAAAGACATGACTGCTGAATTGACTGAGGCGAAAGCAAAGCCCACATTTTAGCGTTTGGTCTTACCTACTTCTCGTCGAGCTAAATCTAAGAAATGAGCAGGTGACTTAGGCATGAAAATTGAAGTGCTAACCAAGTGAGTGCCCACTAACCTCGTGTCGTTTGCAGTTTTAGCAATGAGTAGCTCTTAGCTGTACACAAACATATCAGCTACAGTACATGAGCTGTCAAATATCTCCATACGCAAGCATGATTACGGTATCATGGTCGCTTTGTTTTTACGTGCTATGATTTTGTGCTGTTTGTAGACATCGCGTACACAGCATATAGTAAATATAGAATTTTTCTATTTTAGAAACGGGTGATCAACGTGCCCATCTCAGCCCCTTGGTATAAACGTTCGTTATCTACAACGCAGGCTCCAGAGACAGGTCGTGCACATAGAGTAAGTTCCTCACTTTGTTGTTGAACGTACCGGCTAGAATGCGTCACGACCATAACACATAGCCTAGGAGCAATGACGTACCGGTTTTATGTTGCTCATACATCAGTTTCTTAGCCCACAAATTCATTGATATTTCAGGTAGTAGTTAGAATGGACCCGTTTTCATCCCTAGATGTCGACACAATTCGAAGGAACTACCAATTCAATATCGACTTGTCCAGCGACTCTCCTCTGTCTATTGTAAATAGATGAAATATATTTGTGTGGTTGCTCATCCTTTTGATGCTTGACGTCGTTTCCGAGTGTCCGAGCTGTGCGGGTTCGCCGTTCTGCTCTCAATCCCATTGCCCTAGCCGGTTGCGCTTTCATGTAAACTTTAATAGCTCGTCCGATCGAAGATTTTGCACAACGCTCGAAGAAAAACGGGCTCAGTTGGTCAAAGCCCCTTGCTTTCCCATTTTTTGCGTTTTCCTATCTTTCATTTCGTCAGTCTCCATATATTGCTCGCATAGTGTCCAAGTTGTTTCATCGTGTCTGACGTTCGATGTTCGACCTTTTCAGGCGCATTGCGTATTCATCGCTAATCTCGTCGCTAGTCATTTTGTTCGGCTTTTCTCTCATATAAATTATAGATTCACGAGTTGTTGTTTATAATTGTATGCAATAAAGATTTGGAATTTTACTACATGTACCATTTCTCTTCTTCTTTTGTTGACTTTGTAGGTTTTTTATGCGCATGAGTGCCTCAAGTACTATTTATGTAAAACCGAAAATTTCCGTTGTTGCGCATTCCAATATGTATGAAATATTAGATTGCTTCTTGACTGGATTATGTGCCTACTGCAAGGTCGATAGGTAAAGCATGAAAATAGCACTACAAAGAGGAAGTCGAACTGAAAAGCTTCTATGCAAGCTAACAAGGGTTAATTAATGGACACTGCAGAGAGGCACTTATGAGATATTAGCGTTGGCGATAGCAGGCCGATATCGAAGCATGATATCGTCTTGGAAGCTGTAATCGCGAGTCGAAACTGCTTACGTTAATTAAGGGCATGATCATTCACTTTGCCTGATAGAATGAGTATACACAAAAAAAGTGGTGGAACACTGATAGTCGAGTCAGATAAGTCAGCCTTTTCACTAACAAGCGGGACATGGCTCTATAACTGCAAACACAGACACAGAATAGGTAAAAACAACTGAGGGGAAGACAAACAGTAAGACTTTTTCCTTGCCTTATAAGTTCGCTTTAGTGACCACTCCATGTTGAACGATCTCAGAGACAACTCCATTTTCGGAATATTTTCTGCCTTCGAAGCGGATACGCGAATATTTCAATCAACTCGAAGTAGAAATGTCGTCTCATTCAATCCGACAATTTTGAACAGATTTGCCTGACATACAATATATATCAATTTACAACGACATTCATGTTTTCCTGCTATGAATACATGAGAGTTCACGTTTTTTGCAAAGTGCTCGACGAACTTTCTGAGCGATTTTCAATAATCGTAATGCAAGTACCAGCTATGGATGGTAGCATTCCGGAAGATTTATAGTTATCAGTATACTTTGGCTTTCAGTGTACATTCCATTTGCACCAGTAATGGCAGAAGCTTGCTGAGCCACGTATCGTAGGGATAGTCCAAAAGTCCCACAGTTTTCGTACGATACGTGTGTATCGGGCATACTGTTATGGAATAAGCCTGAAAGCCCTGACAGCCGCTCGCTCCAGTAAAAATGATATGTTACAAGAGAAGTGCGCGATCCGCTTAAGACAGTATTTGCAAGGGTATTTCTTCTGCGATTCTTACACCGGCTAAGATGAAATAGACATTCTTCGATGGACGTATTAGGGCACCTCCGCTCCGCTGCTTTATAGGTGCGACTCCAAATCGAGATGATCCTTGATGGAGTAGGGTAGTATCGGTAGCCGAAATCATTGTTGTCCTCTGATGGATCTCTCATACTTTTGTTGGCTTCTCTTCTATTAAAAGCATAAGCTAACGGTAATTGAAACAAGACTTGTCAATATCTATCATTTCGGTTAAAAAATACTCATACTTCGTGTTCAGACATGGGTTTATGCCGTAAATTGTGTGCAGCTGAACATCTCCCAAAGACCTAAGTATAATTTTATGCATTCCGTTTACTAAAACGTGCAGCTTCTCTTCTCAAGCCAACTGTGAACCTTTTGTGGTGGCGACACAGTACGCTGCCAGCACTCTTAATCTGATATGCGCTATAGGAGTGAGTGAAAGTCTCGTGAACGGCAGTTGCGATTCGCGCACAAATTTGCCTACGAATAAGTACCTAACGCTCCGTCTACGTGCTACAACAGTCCGCGTAGAGGAGTACTGTAGAGCGGAAAAGGAGCGTTTTATTAAGGAGAAGGAATCTAGTTCTAGAGAAGTGATGCCGCTCGCATTGATGGAAAGTTGTAGAAGCCATAATATGTATTCTATTCATTGACCCACCCCGATCGTAGATTCTGAGAAATACAGGTGAAGAGCCGCAATTGTGTACTGAAGAAATCAACTTCTATTTTCGTGGAAAGAGCTTCTGGACGAGTTCCGCGTTACATGACGGATTGTGCGTGCCCACCTTGCTCTACAGACAAAGCAGCTGCCCTCAAATTTTGACAAGATGTAAACGTTGACTACCGTTTCATAATTCTTGTTCCAGCTTCCGAGTCAATTTCATAGAGATAGGCTAGCATTTCATTGGCGTCAGATCCATGATTACGAGTCGTCGTTGCATCATCGTCATCTGGAATTGACTTACAGACAATGCACGGATCAGATCGGACTTTATGACAAATCTGCACGATAAGGAGTTAGCTTACGGTCTTAAAACGATTTGACTACTTTTATATCTTGAACATTGATCTGTTGGCCAAATCCTGAAATTCATTTATGGGTGTACGCACGTGCCCTGCGACAAAATGTTTTTACCTCATTTCCCTCTACCTCAAAAACATTTGCATAAAAAAAGCCCATACACCCCTTTTTATAGAAGTGTAGGAATTTTTGGGGCAAAGTGACATAAACGAAAATCGGTACTGTTTATCTTTTTTAAGGCAAACCTTCATACACACATTGCGGGTATGCGTAAATCACAGTATGAGCACATAGAGAGCTGGGAAAAGACAGAATTTGCAAGCGCACCTCAACAAAGTATACACTTACAAACTTCCAGCAAAATCACTAACAAGCAAAATTTAAGACAAAGCCATAGCAACAAGTGCATATACGCTCACTTGACTGCTTGTTGTGATTGCGATGGAAGTCAGAAAGGAGCGGAACCCTAGCAGTGAGCTCCTCTATAACATTCGCAAAATAACAGCCATTCGGGACAGGCACATTGAGTTTCAAAGTTGCTCGATGTAGAAATGAAACCGCTTTGCAGAAACGTAGCATCGCTTTCTTTGAGCATATTGTGAATAAACGCCTGATTGGGAGGAGAGCAAAGAAGCTCGAAAGGTGTTACACGTACCTCGAGAACCTGATCATGGTGTATGAACCTCAAAAGTTGAATTCGTAAGTTCATAGAAGCAAGATGAAGCAATCAGCCAAAATATCATTATTAATGCAGTTCACTGGACACAAACTGTATGGGAATAGATATGACACGCATATAATATCGATTATGAAGTGTCATTACCAAATGATAGTTGTAAGCAAAATTCAAATCCAACCATTATCTCAAAACATTGACGAAAGCTTACGATTCTTCAAACATGCGCGAAAATAAGTATGCCTCCTTTTCTTTCCAGGAAAAAAATAGGAGGGCTACTGTAATTGTGAAACAGCTAGTCAAAATCTTTGCAAAATGAGCAACTCCGGCCATTATGATGAACTGAGACAAAGGATGAAATCGAATAGATATGCACATACGTTTGTATAAGCGTTTTTGCGACGCGACGCTTGATTTGACATAAAGTCACAATGAGAGTAGTTCGCTGTCACAAAGAAAGGGTTGGGACATACTACGCGGCGTAGCAGCATACGCCCTTATCTTTATGCATGCGTGCGTACGTTACGTACGTCGCGCACGCGGCGCAATCTGCCAATCCTACATCCGAAGGTATCTAATAGAAGATTACGAAATCTAGTGATTAAGGCTGCGTTCATACTGATTCCCATGTTCTGGAACTGTTCCCGCACAGTTCTCGCACTGTGCTGAAACTGTGCGGGAACTGTGCAGGAACTGTGCGGGAACAGTTCCAGAACTGTGCTGCATGCGCTGCAGCCGCCCCGCACCGTTTTGAACGGCGGGAGTTGGAGACTTTTGACCGTTCTCAACGGTTTTTCTTCCAGATTTCGCTCATTTTGGCCTTAATCCTCCGGGTGTGGTGCAAGAGGAACGATAGCAATTGCCAGCCGCTGGTGCCAATGCACTATTTGCCTTCACAATTCGCAAATTGCGAACTTATAAAAAACAGTAGATATAAGATTAATGCTCTACTGAACTTACTTAATGAGTCTTGCTTAGATGCCGGTGGTATGTGCAATTTGGTGATGTTCTTGCAGTAATAAGCTTAAAATATTTAGTTTCACCTTTGAGACCTTTTTTTGACATTTTCAGCTGATTTTCACACCCCATTTTCAAGCAAACACAATCTATACGATTCTCCTGTCAAGATGAAAGCATAAAAGAAGAAGGAGTTCTAAATTTCTGTGTGCAGATGGCCAAAAATGACGGTGAAGTATGCGCGAGTTATTGACACCCACCAGCTATCGTTCCTCTTGCTCGCCACCCTAATCCTCCACCCCGCTTCTCTTTTTGATCAGCAGCACTGCGAACTCAAAGCGGGGTTGAAGAATGAGCGCTTTTCTGCGCCGTGTATTCGGAAAGATGGGCTATCGTGCGATTGTTCATTCTGTCTTCTTGTTTTTTGCTCAAAACTACTTCATTTGTTCCAGGAAGCGGCTGCCCAGTTTCCATAGCCATCTGCCACGAATTAGGGAGTAGGAGAAATCCTGAAATTGCATGAGTTGGGACTTGTCTCTTGTTTTTCATGATTTTGGGCGTTCTTAGCCTTGTTCGTTTTTCCATGTCGTTGCTTCTCCGTTCTTTCTTCTACCCCGCTTCTCCTAGTGATGAGAAAAGCTGTGAATTTGAAGCGGGGTTGAGGATTGAAGGCTGTTCTGCTCCATGTATCCGGGAATATGGGCCTTCGTGCGCTCGTCCATTTTCTCATCGCTATTTTTGTTCAGACCTACTTCATGTGTTCTAGAGACTTGTGTATTTCAATTTTAATACGATGCGAGACTACGCAGCGACTTGTTAGTACACATGAATAGGTCTGAACAAAAATAGCGATGAGAGAATGGACGAGCGCACGAAGGCGCATATTCCCGGATACATGGAGCAGAACAGCGTTCAATCCTCAACCCCGCTTCAAATTCACAGCTTTTCTCATCACTAGGAGAAGCGGGGTAGAAGAAAGAACGGAGAAGCAAGATCATGGAAAAACGAACAAGGCTAAGAACGCCCAAAATCATGAAAAACAAGAGACAAGTCCCAACTCATGCAATTTCAGGATTTCTCCTACTCCCTAATTCGTGGCAGATGGCTATGGAAACTGGGCAGCCGCTTCCTGGAACAAATGAAGTAGTTTTGAGCAAAAAACAAGAAGACAGAATGAACAATCGCACGATAGCCCATCTTTCCGAATACACGGCGCAGAAAAGCGCTCATTCTTCAACCCCGCTTCGAGTTCGCAGTGCTGCTGATCAAAAAGGGAAGAGGGGTGGAGGATTAAGGCCAAAATGAGCGAAATCTGGAAGAAAAACCGTTGAGAACGGTCAAAATTCTCCAACTCCCGCCGTTCAAAACGGTGCGGGGCGGCTGCAGCGCATGCAGCACAGTTCTGGAACTGTTCCCGCACAGTTCCCGCACAGTTTCCGCACAGTTTCAGCACAGTGCGAGAACTGTGCGGGAACAGTTCCAGAACATGGGAATCAATATGAACGCAGCCTAAGAGATCATCTTTCCTCTCACATTTATATGTTGAAACTTGTATCTGTGGTGATCCTTCGCTGACAAAAGGAGAAGCAAAGTAATAGCCACTTCTTTTGCGAATGATATGAATAAACTAGTCAAAATATATGCAGTTATCTGACGATATTAGTCCTAATGTAGCTCGTTGTGCTTTGCAATGGGCATAAAACATATGTTTTGGACAAACTGGCTTAACGACGAGGGAACAAACCGAAACAATGATTGCAAACAATGATTATCATGTGAGTAAGCGTGATATCCCCGCTAAAGCTGGACTTTGCAGGAAACGATGAATGATCAGCTCAACAATCGTTCCCTAAAAGTACACGAACGCCTTGTAAAACAAACTTGACATCCAATGAAAAAATGTGCTGACGGTTTCATTTCGAATGCCGATCGAACATGCCGATCCATTTTTGCTGTATATTGTGTTGTATATTACTTACCTTATCAGTGTCTTAGGAGTATTCTCCCGAAGTCACAACGCCTGTTTCCGACAGGCAAATTCACATGCAATCACATACAGTACGCTCCTCAATCTACGCGCTACAACTCTTCTGGCATGATTTGAAAAAACAAAAACAAAAGGTAGGAATCTACGCGCTACAACTCTTCTGGCATGATTTGAAAAAAACAAAAACAAAAGGTAGGCGACGCTTGGAATGTCGTAGTACACTTCAGCTTTTATTCGCACTTACAAAAAAATCCACTTTGAAAAGAAAACAACCAAAATTCGATAACTTTAATTGATTAACTTGGCATCTAAGTAATGCAATCATATAGCTTTTGCTTTTTTTGATATAACACGTTCATCTTTGTTATTACTCTACGATTATGATGTCAGTTACAAATGCAGACTTTTTCGCAGTATTTAGCCATGGCATGTGAGGGTTATGATCAGAGTTGAGCGAGAGATCAGGCACAAGTCTTTCGAGAACTACTCCTACCCTTCCCCTGAAAGCCTCAAACGACCCCTTCTTCCTTCTCTTCATCTTTTCAGCAACATCAAAACGCGACGTTTTGAGGGACATCATTCTTTTAGAGTTTTTGATTTTTTAAAGTCGGTACACCCGATCTCCTGTGACTGCATTCTATTATACAATCACATGTAAGTTGACGGCCATTTTGGTCTGAATGGGCCTTGAAAAGACCATGATTTCCCAGGCGTGGGGGGGGGGGGTGGGTGGCTGCAAATTTTCACTGCAGCAAGAAGATGCTTTGAGCTGAATATTCATACTAGGAATGGAGCGATTCCTGGATTTTGAAGACATATTATGTGGATCAGGCACAAAAACTCAGGGAGCCTGACCTTTTGAGGGGTTGTGCCTGACGCGATTAACTTTATCACCGAAGAAACTTTTCCACCCTAGTTTTATGTGATTCGCTAGCACTAACTTCTGAGAATCTACAGTAGGTGTTTTAGCTTACCTCGACTTGTATCGGCTTTTGGTGATCAGTGAGGTTGAATTACTCAAGATCGAAAGCGCGGTGATTGGAATTTTGGCAGCGCTTTTTGTTGCACTATTTAAAAATATGAGTTCTAATCTTTGCCATAGACTGTTGAAGAGTACAACTTCGTTATGGGTACAAAAATGCTTTCTTTCACGTTTGTGACCAAATTAATCATGTTTCACGCTTTTTAGACATTAGGAAACACTAGGAAATGTAATAGGTAATAATTCAAAGAGCTCGTATAGACACTCTGGCATGCTGATTATGGAAGTCACACCCAATTTACACAGGAAGCTTCCTCGATGACCTCACGGTATGTGTAAAGTAAGAGATGAAGAACTGAAATTCGGCCGGGACTTCGTTAGTGGAGTCAATTGATATGCTGTTCATGACAGTCATTCCTTTTCTGGTGAAATTGTGATATTCACTGGTCTTTCTTCCTCATCTCAGTCGATCGTAGGACTTTCCCAACTTTTTTGAACAAATCCGTCTCAAATACAACTCACCCCCCCCCCCCCCCAGTCTTACCCCCAAAACGACCTCCCAGGTCAGCCACGCCTGCTCCCACGCTCAACTCTGATTAAGGAAGCGTATATTTTAGATTGCTTTAAATTTTGCTGAAACTGGGCTTAAGGGAATTATTCGACACGCTGATTACAAAAATAATGCTCAATGCGCATAAAGAAGACTCCTTCGTAAGGTCAAAGGCGCCGTCCACCCAAATTTTCAAAATTGAGTTTTTGTCCATTTTCGCAAATTTTGCGCACGCTGACAAGGGGGGTCCGATTACTCGAAGTAGCCTTTCCAAATGAGTCTTACACCACTTTGAAGAGCATCAAACGGTGATTCCAAATCTGATTTCATCATCTGCCGAGCGCCTCTGCATGCCGCGTTATGAATATTTTCTTGTTGCGAAAAATGAACGCATAATCTAGCTAAAATTGAATTTTCTTCGTTCCTTTCCTCGTTTTTTTAGCGCTCAAATAGAACAGTGTTAGGTACGAGTGTTTTGAACAGAAAGTATTTTCAAACGGAGCTCTGATAATGGATAGACCATTTGAGCTCTGATGAGTTTTGTTCCAATTTTGTAT